TGTAAAGTGTTAGCAAAAATTTTTATTTCATGTGTTATGAAATAAAAAGCTTCAGGACGCGCAGACAGGGGAAGCGATCCGGCGCGTTCGTTCATTTTAGACAGCGCGGATTTCGAACGGTGCTGCCTATCATCCATCTGGCGAATCTACGCTCTCTACCCAACAAAACATATAAACTTCTTCTGCTCTCCCGGACAAATAAGGATTTTTCAAACTCTGCTGCTCTGTGTTTCACGGCGACCAGGCTAAATGACGCCATTCCAGACAGCACGCTATATTTGCTGGGCTTCCAGCTGTTCAGAGCGGATCGCGACGCAGAATCAGCGGGGAAATGGCGTGGCGGCAGGACATGCTTTTACATCAATGAAATGTGGTGTACAGACGTAACAGCGTTAAAGAATATACGCTGTCCCGATCTAGAAGCGCTCTTCATTTACTGTAAACCTTTCTATTCGCCGCGGGAGTTTTCTTCGTTCATTCTCGTGAGTGTTTACATTCCTCCGCAAGCACACGTAAGCCTGGCTTTACAGAAACTCGCTTATCAAATCACTGACACAGAATTATAATCATTCTTGGAGACTTTAATAAAGCAAATCTCTCCCGTGAACTACCAAAAATACAGACAGCACGTTACATGTCCCACCAGAGACAGCAATATATTAGATCACTGTTATACCACAATAAAGGATGCATATCACTCTGTCCCACGGGCAGCTTTGGGGCTCTCTGATCACGGTTTGGGTTATCTTATACCGACCTACAGGCAGAAACTGAAATCAGCTAAACCTGTATTAAGGACTGTAAAGGACTAATGAAACAGAGCGGGATTTACAAGCCTGTTTTGACTGCACTGATTGGAGTGTTTTTGAAGCTGCTACCAATGATCTGGATGAGCTCACAGAGACTGTAACATCCTATATCAGTTTCTGTGAAGACATGTGCATTCCTACCAGGACTTATTTAACATTAAACAATGACAAACCATGGTTCACTGCAAAACTCAAGACAGCTCCGTCAAGCCAAAGAAGATGCTTACAAGAATGGGGACAGAGTCTTGTATAAACAGGTCAAATACACACTGGAAAAGGAGATCAGAGTGGCAAAGAGGAATTATTCTGAAAAGCTAAGGAACCAATTATCTTCCAGTGACCCTGCTTCAGTGTGGAAAGGGCTGAAAGACATGCCCAACTACGAGACACCATCCTCCAGCAGTGTGGAGAATCAACAACTGGCAGACGATCTAAACGAGTTGTATTGCAGGTTTGAAAAAACCCTGTTAACTCCCCCTCTCCCTGACTCCTGCACTTCTGACAAATGAAAATTATGTGCGTCAGGTCTTCAGAAAGAACAAGAGAAGAAAGGCACCAGGCCCAGACGGTATCACACCAGCCTGTCTGAAAACCTGTGCTGACCAGCTGGCCCCCATCTTTTCACAGATCTTCAGCAGATCACTGGAGCTGTGTGAAGTCCCTTACTGCTTCAAACGCTCTACCATCATCCCCGTCCCAAAGAAACCCAAAATTACAGGACTTAATAACTACAGACCTGTAGCTCTAACATCTGTGGCCATGAAGTCATTTCAAAACTTGGTGTTGGCTTATCTGAAGGACATCACCGGACCCTTACTGGACCCCCTACAGTTTGCTTACTGAGCAAACAGGTCTGCGGATGATGCAGTCAACATGGGACTGCACTACATTCTGCAACAACTGGACAGACCGGGGTCTTATGTGAGGATCCTGTTTGTGGATTTCAGCTCGGCTTTCAACACTATCATTCCAAACCTCCTCCTGCCCAAACTAACTCAGCTATCCGTGCCCACCTCTGTCTGTCAGTGGATCACCAGCTTCCTGACAGCCAGGCAGCATCTAGTAAAGCTGGGAAATTCTCATCCAGCACCCGTACAATCAGCACTGGAGCTCCTCAGGGTTGCGTCCTCTCCCCCCTACTCTTCTCCCTGTATACCAATGACTGCACATCTAAATACCCCTCTGTCAAGCTCCTAAAGTTTGCAGACGACGCCACACTTATCGGCCTCATTCAGGACGGTGATGAGTCTGCCTACAGACAGGAGGTAAAAGAGCTGTCTGTCTGATGCAGACTTAACAACCTGGAGCTCAATACTCTCAAAACAGTGGGGATGATCATGGACTTCAGGAGAAACCCCCCTGCACTCCCCCATCATAGACAGCACTGTAACGACAGTGGAGTCATTCAGGTTCCTGGGCAACACCATCTCTCAGGACCTGGTGGGAGATTCACATTGTTAAAAAGGCCCAGCAGAGGCTGTATTTCCTTTGCCAACTGAGGAAGTTCAACCTGCCACAGGAGCTGCTGAACAGTTCTACTCCACCATCATTGAATCCGTCCTCTGCACTGCTGAGCGAATCACTGGTACAACCCTCCCCGCTCTCCAAGAACTGTACTTATCCAGAGTGAGCAAAAGGGCTGGCAAAATCACTCTGGACCCCTCACATCCAGCACACTCCCTCTTTGAACTGTTGCCATCTGGTCGACGCTAGAGCACTGAGCACCAGAACTGCCAGGCACAGGAACCGTTTCTTCCCTCAGGCAATCCATTTCATGAACACTTGATAATAAAACGTGGAACACAAAACACTATCATACATTTATTTATTTAACATACATATTTATTTATAGGGCTGGACCAGAGTATTCGATTATTTGAATATTCGTTCGGTGGGTTGACATTCGATTTTCAATTTTGAGTTTCGAATATTCTTTTTTTTTTTTTTTTGGACACCTAGCATCCCCCGCGAAACGGTTCTCATTCGCGCTTGAATATGAATCGCCTATAAGTGAACGTCATGTTTGATGCAAAATAAAGCCAATAGTTTAAGATTGTTTTAATCAGTTTGTACATAAAGAAATTATTAATTCATCACGTGAGAAGTCTTGTTGTGCCCATTTTCGACCCCCTGCAAAATTATTACCCCTCTCGTTGAAATTGCTATCTGATTGCCTAATCCTAACCCCTCCCCCACACCTAACCCTAAGCCTACAATACTAAGGTGGTAATAATCTGACAGGGGTCAGAATTGGGCACAACAATGGCAAATGCCTTCTTCTCACGGGTGATTCCCGATGGTTTTAGAGGACAATTACTCAGTGTTGCCAACTGCTTTCAATTGAAAGTAGCTAAAACTGGTAGCTAAATGTCACTAGATGACATCACAATGGCAAATTCACTGATCTATATAAAGATGAACGTAGATCAGTGGGCAAGATGAGAACTTAGATAAGGTTTGTCCGAGAAGTTGCTATATTTTCCCCTAAACTTTCGGAAAAATCTCAAAAGGGGCGGGGAAGTCACTAAATCTAGCTACAAAGTAGCTAAATTGGCAACACTGCAATTACTCCTCGTTGCCCCCTGTCGTTTCAAAGAATAGTACAACGGCGAACACGACAAGTAAAAAAGCTTTAAGTAATAAAAAGTAATAAAAGCCTCGTCCATTTGGGAAGGTGTGCGCGCAGTCAGCGGAGGCTCATGGAGCGGAGCTAGGCGAAAGTATAAATCCAGCTTGAGGCACGCCGCTTCCGGATTGCGCTGTTCTGTAGTTTATTAAGTTTATTAATTCTGAATGTGTCGCGTGTCCATATTGCACCAAAATGCGACACTGCACTCCCTTGGGTCCATAGCAACACACCCGCCAAATGTGAAGTTGATTGGATGAACGGTTCTCGACATAATAAAAATGTAAACAGACAGACAGACACACAGAGATTCCTGCCTTTATTACACCGTGTCTACACTGGATGCGAAAAAGCGACCGTTGAAAATAATTTGAAATTTGTGTCAATACGTCATAAATAGAACGCAGCAGCAGTTTTCTGTTGGGAATTTGTCGTGTTGCGACGCGCCACATCCAGTGTAGATAGCATCACTGATTATAATGAGTTCTATATAGTGGTTAAACGGATCGTAGTTGATCCGTGATCCGTATGGACCAAGCCCCACGGTTCGGCACGCATGTGATCCGCGGTTTAATTGCAAAATTTAACCATAATAAGAGTATTAGTTTATCATTTGTCCGTATTTGTACAAGCAAGCAAATTTTAAACAATTCCAGAGAGAAAAGGCGAAAGGGAACTCGATTCGTTACTCGCGCATTGTATTTGAATACTACTAACCTTATTTTATTTTGTAACATATTCTGTTGTATTTACCTATGCTTGTAATTTGTGTATTTGTTCTTATTTTTACTGGCTGTTCTCTTGTCTCTTTAATCATGTTTAAACTTTCTTAGTTAATCTAGTAGTATTTGCTGTGGTATCAAAGAAGTACTTCGCTTTAAGTAATAAATAGAAAGCAAGTTAAATTGAAATATTTTTCTTTTCTTGCTGATCCGAAAAATTATCCGATCCGTGGGTCAAAAACTGTAATGTGATCCGAACCGTGAGATTTGTGATCCGTTGAACCACTAGTTAATATAGTATTTTGTCGTGCCGCGATGTTCGCGTCCGTTGTGGACACGGTGTTAGAGAGAAGAATATGTTCAGCCCCCTCCCTTCAAAGCTTTGAATATTCGGTGTTGATTACAACCGATGCTTCAAAGCTCAAAAAATGGTATTTGGACCAGTCCTACTTATTTACATTTCAAATTTGCACATAACATACCTGTACATACAAAATTGTCTATTTTGTATATTGTGTTTTTGCTATTTTGTACATTGTCTATTTTGTATATTTGTGTATTATTCTTTTTATTATGTGTCTTGTCTTGTCACTGTCATTCTGTTGCACTCTGGAGCTTCTGTCACTAAAACAAGTTCCTCGTTTGTGTAAACATACCTGGCAATAAAGCTCATTCTGATTTTGATTATATTTTTTCGGCAGTAAATGTGTTAAATCATTTTGGCAGTAAATCATTTTGGTTATTCAACCACTATTAGCAAGGTTTATTTAGAAAGGAAAATGAAATAAAACATTTTTGTAAAAAAATAAAGTATATCAAGTTAGTATACTGAAATCTCAGTACCTTGGAAGTTTGGTCGTATTCGTGAATCATAGGTCATCAACAAGCGGTTCAGTATGTTGCTGGTTGAGTTGGCTGGGACTCTGTCCAAGTCCTCTGCTGATAACTGACTGGCAATGTCAAAACAGACACATACACACTATACTGGCAGTACATCTCTTAGCAAAGTCATACTAGGACATAACTTGCCCTGGCAAAGAGTCAAAGCCTTCTCAGATTCAAGAACTATTCAACACATCATTCTTCTGGAATTAGGGCTGGGCGATATGAGCAAAAATTCATATCTCTGTATTTTTTGGCTGATTTGCTGTATACAGTATATACTGTACCTCTGTATTTTCTACGCTTTTGTATTTGTATTTAAAAAATCTGTATTTTACATATATATAAATATATATTTCACATCCTGCCTAATGCTGTCCAAAGAAACAATGCATATTAAAGGCTATGAAAAAACAAATAAAGTGAATGTAACCATATAGGCATATGTTATGTGCAAAAAAAAAAAAGTATTAAAATCACATTACTTTCTAATATTATAACATTACAATATAAAAACAAAAATAATGCTTTTAAAGCAGAAGTTAAATTCACTTAACTAAAAATAAAAATAATAAAAAAGCTCAGACTAATTAAGTAAAAATGCTATTTTGATTACCCCATTACAGTCACTTTACAGTTAGTGCTATAATACAAATACAATTACTTGTAGGTTTAAAATTCTACATATGTCACATTTATTGTCCAACTACAAATATTTCAGCAAAATGTATGTTTTAGTCAAAACTACTGCACTCCTATTTCATCGCTCGTTCAATTAAGTCTTTTAAGTTTAGCGGAGAATCGCAAAGCAGAAGGCTCGTGAGTCGTGCATGCACTTCTGACAGCAAAATGGAAATATTTCCATGGCTTTCTAACATTTACAGATGGAGAATATACCTGTGAAATGTAAGCTATGCATTTTAGGAAAACAGCACATCTCAGACACGTTAAACAGCGCGAGTAGCGTCTGTGGTGCGAGAGCCGCTTTAAACTATATGAAACTATAAACTATACTACTTACGAGTTTTTTTTGTTTTTTTTTACAGCCCTTCATATAAAACTTGTCACATGTTTAGAACAAATTGGATTATGCACTTTCTCCGTTAGATATTTTTCAGATGCGCTCATATCAAACTACTGTAGGCCTATATCGATATAAACGGTATTGCCTCATACTGTATCACTTATAAAAATATATCGATATATCGTACAAACTCAATATACCACCCAGCCCTATCTGGAATAATGTCTGCTTACACAGTACACAGTAAAAAGTACAGACACTTACTAATGCTTAGTCATATAGATTTGGACCACTGGCCCTATCTATGGCCTAAGGCCAGTTTAACTGGATCTGTTAGTATGCAACAGAGAGTATTGACAAGGGCACAGCTGGTCCTGGACCAGTGCTAACAGAACCATCGAGTCTGGCAGGCTCCCAAATTTATCGCCAGACTTTCACTCTGCTTAACAGCACTGTAATTCTTCATGACTGACATCCATGCATCCTTGGCAACCTTAAATGATAATGGAATCAGCACACATATGTGTGTAACTGCCTGGGAGACTTACGAGGGACAGATGACTTGCTTGCCCTTTTTGCCCTTCTTGGGTTTGCCTCCTTCTTTGGCAGTGCTCTCTGCAGAGAACTGTACCAACAGCAACAACAAGATCAGCCCTTTGAGAACCATGACTGCACTCCTGCAACTCACACAGACACATTAGTCAGCAAAAACACTTTACATCAATATAACGGTGCCATTCATTTAACTATTACATGAATGCCACCAAAACATAAAACATCAGGTCAAATCTGGAATAAAGGAATGTGAAGATATTTATTTATTTGTTTGTATGTTCACCCAATAATGAGAATTAGCTGAAAATGTACTTGCCCTAAGGCCATTCAAGATGTAGATGAATTTGTTTCTTCTTTGGAACAGATTTGAAAAAAATGTAGCATTACATCACTTGCTCACTAATGGATCCTCTGCAGTGAATGGGTGCCGTCAGAATAAGAGTCCAAACAGTTGATAAAAATATCACAACATGACTCCTGGTCATCAATTATCGTCTTTTAAAGTGAAAAGTTGTGTTTTTGAGAAACAAATCCATCCATTATTAGTGCATTTTAACTTGTCGCTTCTGGCCAAAATGAGTCCATAATCCATAGCAATGCTTCCTCTAGTGAAAAAAAAAATCCATCCCCCTTACATCAAGAAGACGTTTTTCATAGGAAAAGGCAGTATTATGGAAAGAAGAATTTGTTTCTACAAACTGTTTGGACTCTCATTCTCATGGCACCCATTCACTGCAGATGATCCATTGGTGAGCAAGTGATGTAATCATCAAACTCACCCACATCTTGGATGGCCTGAGGGTAAGTACATTTTCAGCAAATTTTCATTTTAAGTGAACTCTTCCTTAATTCATTTCATTTGAACAAGTTAATGCTTAACAGACATATAATGATACCACCCGTTATGTGTGATGTACAAAAGATCAATGCATGTTTTTAAAGATGGAAATGCAACAGCATAGCAGGGTTTAAGAGAAAGTGGGGGACAAGACAAATTCAGAAATTTCTCAGAAAGCTAAAAAAAAAAAAAAACTACTAGGGAAACGTATGACTTGCATTGCATTATATTTCTCCCACAAATATAGTCACTTATTTTCATATAGGAGACCAAGGCTAGTTGTTGAGCTATTGAACATTTCGACTGTGATTTCCCAGGAAAATAGAAACAGTTCACTGAACACATGTTCACCTGGGGGCAGGCTGTCATAGTTTTTATGGCATTGGTTGTCACAATGAAACATTCAATTGCCCATTATATGCTTTTCAGCTTGATAGATAGATAGATAGATAGATAGATAGATTATCCCAATGTATGAATTAGTTTTGAACTACATGCTTGTAATATACATACAGGCAGCGTTGGGCAGTAACAAGTTAGTACTTTTTGCAGTAACTTTGAAGTAACTAGTAGTGTAACTAATTACTAATAAGATTTCAGTAATAATATTAGTTACGTTCCATAAAACAGCTAGTCACTTTTGATGCCTCAACCCCAACTGATTTGAAGTCCAACAATCCAATAATTCCTAGATTTATTTTCATAATTTTCACAACTTGCACAGGCACATGAAGTCACCAGTGCAGCAGGCATATGGACTATGAACAAGCTTACATTCAGCGGATGGAAATATTGCCATTTCATTGATTTTGTCAGGAGAAAAGATGTTCTGAACACTGATAGAAGTTGTGGCATTATGGTAGTTGTAGCATTACTTTACTCTGGCATTACATGGCTTGCCCACCCACATCCCTCTGATCCTGATATAAATTGTATAAAATCTTTTTAGAGAATGAAACATTTTCTTATGAACTTATATGATTTCTTTTGATAAAATACATCATGGACTATAATCGTACATGGGTATAACAGAGAAATCATATAGCTACAATTAGCTCAAGCTACACATGACAATTAACGTGATTAATACAACACTTTTACTGAAATGTTACTATTAATAACTATTGACTGCGATCCAATGCGGATCAAAAGATGAGGCAGAAAAATATTGTTAGTAACATTTTAGAAGAATTTTATGGGGAAGATATGCAGTGTAACTAATTACTGTTGCCAGAAAGTAATAGTAAATGAATACATTTACTTTTGAAAGGAGTAACTAGTAAGGAGTAATATAGTCTATTACATTTTTTGAGTAACTAGCCCAACACTGCATACAGGCCTATATTAAAGTGTTTGGTTTAGATGAGTATCATCAGAGAAATGTGATTTTTTTTCCCCCAGCTGATTAATTGTTCACATCAAGACTAGCAATGTGCGCTAGTAAAGTAAATCAAGTCTATTTTGATTTCATGCCGACTTTAACTCATTAACACATTCTCTTAGAAACCCCTGGAGCAGCTTGATCAGACCTTATAACGTGCAGATTAATTAGCCGAACGCTATTAAGAGCTCTCGCTCCAGCGGCGGACTGAAAAACACCCGGCACCGAATCCAGCACTAGAAATCCGCAGTGGAAACACGGCAGAACACTCAGCTCACCGCAAAACACTTCCAGACCTCCCGGCGCAGACGTACACCAACAAGAAAAATAAAGAGAACACTCGTAATAACTCACTCTGAGAACTTGTGAAATCATGTTGAACCGAAGAACCAGCGTGTCAGTGAGATCATCTCATCTGTACATATTACAGTACAAAGACACATAGCCTTACCTCACGAAGAAAACACCGCTGATATTAGCGTTCCCCGCTCAAACACGCATGTCTGTCACTGTATGAACATCCACACTCGGGCTGTTTCGGTGTGTGTGTTGGATTGCGCGTGGATGCACCTGTCCCGCTGCAGTGAGGCTGCTGCTGTGCTCTCACGTGATGAAGCACGCGCTGTCCCGCACCGGCGTCACTTTCTCCGCCTGGATCTAACTTACGAAACCTACTGTGCTACTATAGCCTACCATTACGTGATTCTTTCTGAGGATATAAAGGACCTGTATTATGCAAAATCAAGAGTTGAACAAATGAACTGTTAGCAGCACATAAAAAGCATAAGAGCGAAAGCAGCCCTCTCTGATGATATTAAGCGAGAGATGCTCAAGAAATGTTAGTGGTTTTGTGGACAGCTCCTCCTCACCTCCATTTGTCCTTTGTGTCACATTAAATCACAGCCCTCTCTCTTTACAGATTTACACTGAGCCCACAGAACTAAATGAGGGCATGGGATGGGCTTGTGTGTGTGTGTGTGTGTGTGTGTGTGTGTGAGAGAGAGAGAGAGAGAGAGAAAGTGGCAGGAAAGATAAATGATCCCATGTGAGAATGGGAATAAGAGAGAATAAGATCCACACAAACAATATGAAGGTACACTGAGAATAAGATGAATTATATTTAAATATATCATTAATTTATTTAAGATGTATGATACATTTATGTAAAAATGTATATTATATACTGGTAAAACATAAATCATCTTATTCCATCTCTTTATATAGAAAAATATAAATCTTATTTAAATGTTAAAATATATAATTGATATAGAATAGACTGATTAAATATAATTCAATGTTTCATGTATGTGTGTGTAAATATGTAATAGATATATGTATTATTGATATATTTATGTATAAACAGGATATACTTAATCAAATAATAAGAAATGCAATCTTATATATATATATATACACACACACACACACACACACACACACACACAAAGTAATAGCATATCAATTATACATTTATGTATAAACATATAAGGTATAATGACTGTGTGTGTGTGTATAACAGTCATACATAATTCACCTCTGTCTCTCTCTATATACAAAAAAGAATATTTAAATAAAAATGTTTAAATATATTATTGCTAGATTTATGTATAATAATATAAGATACACTGATCAAATAAAACTAATCTTATTCTCTCTCTCTATACATACATAACGTAATGACATATAAAACTTTGGGGCATAGGTGTGTGAGAGAACCCAGTACAAATACAGCACAACTGGTTAAAAAAACAATACAATTGTGTTTCAGAATTTGTGAAGCCATTCTGCTCACAGCGTGGCACAACGCCAGCACACTGCAGAGGAGACGCACACAAACTCTCACTCACTCTCGCACACGCACACACAGGACAGCTTCATGATGGTCTTTACGAATTACAAACTTACCTCAGCATTTCAGATGCTGTAAAACACCAGCTTTCACTCCTCTATCACACACACACAATCTTGTCAGATGTGGTAGTTTCACAGGTGAATTATGCTTTGAAGAATACAATTACAGTGAGTGACTATTAGGGCTGTGCAATATATCGAAATATCACAAATGTACTAGTACATATCGCAATATGCATATCGCTACAGCTTGCAATATTTGGGGCCATGAACAAAAGACAAAGAGAAAATCACTCACTGCTCTTACCCTAAATAACTTTTGTAGCTTAAATAAGAATCAGTGCATATTGAATTCAAAGAGGAAATACTAAGCAGTGTTTTATTTTTCCTTTTTATTATTCAGTTCCTAAACTCATGTTAAAATGACATTTTTATGTAATGCTCAAGTAAAACACTACCGTTCACTTTCAGAAGTTGTTGTAGGGGTGCTTTCTTATCAGAATCAGAATGAGATTTATTCACCACTGTTTCATTTGAGCATTATCGTTTCGCATATCGAATATCGCATTATTTAATGAGTTATCGCATATTGCATTTTTCTTCAATATCGCACAGCCCTAGTGACTATCATTCTTATAAAAGTGATCATTACACAACATCATCTGCTCAGATAGTACAAAACAAGACAGATGCTATGCCAAATATGGGACATGCTTTCATGCCTTCTACACATATACAACACACACACACACACACACACCATCTGTCCAGGGCTGACAGGAACACAATTCATCTTCTGCTCGGGCAAATTCGACCACTACAAATGAAGAACGGAGCTCACTGTTTGGATGCCAAGTCCAAAGACAGAGCAAGGGTGTGTATTTTTAATCCACATTATAATATGTATTAAATATGACAACATTTGAGCCCTAAGAGTGTTGACTTGATTTATTGCTTTCACTTTTCCATACTCAAAAATATGTTCATAGAAAAATCGGTCACACTAACAACACAGAGACAACTAAGCTAAGATGTAAGGGCCAATAATACATGTTAAAGGAATAGACTCACCCTCATGTCATTTTAAACCTGTATGGATATCCTTTCTTCTGCAGAACATTAAAAACGAAATGTTGAGAAATGTCTCAGTATGTTATTTTGTCTATAAATTGGAAGTCAATGGTCACCAAAACTGTTTGGTTGCCAACATTCTACAAAATATCTTTATTTGTGTTACACAGAAGAAAGGAAGTCATACTAGATTTGAAATGACACGAGGGTGAGTAAATGATGAATTATCCCTTCAAAGCACAAACTTGAATCTCAAAGCAAATACACCAGAAAATAAATCAGGTTTCACAAACTCCCCTAATTACAATGACACTATTTTATTCCATTAAAGCTTATTCAAAATGCAGAACATTTGGCCTAAATCTCAAAAGCAGTAAGGTGAAGGTAAACTTAAAAAAAAAAACAAGAGTCACTGACTTTAAATCTATGTTTTACAAAATTTAAGGCCACATGTAAGGTGAACGGACAGTCCAGCTCAACATAAATCTCAGCACTTGGGTGGTTAGATTAACTGTCTTTCTCCTTTCATTAGCTCACACTGCAGTGCAGAACTCTTGTGCCCAAGCTATAAAACAGCAGCACAAATCACTCGGACTAAAGCTGATTTGTAATTTTCTTCTTTACCGGTTTAATGTGCGAGACAACAATCATAGGTTGATGTCCCCCAAAAGTATAAATGCTGTGGCTGCATTTTTTCAACATTGCTTTTTGAGTTTGAGCCACCCGACATAGCAACATTGACTTAGCCAATGAGTTTGGGACGGGGCTACCTGTTTCTTTGACCAATGACAGATGGAGGAGGGTTTGGGAGAATTTCATGTTTTCATTATTATAAATGTTGGTAGTTGCCCCTGTAAGTATAGCCCACCTTATCTAGTTAAGCCCCGTTCACACCAAGAATGATAACTATAAAGATAACTATAAAGATAACAATATAAGCGTCCACACCAGCGAACGATATCGTCTGTTTATTCTAAGCGCACGCGCGTCTGCCGCTTTAAATTCTTGAGCTCGTTACAGCAGGATGGATTCTGATTGGCTGTCAGTGTTTTATCGTTCAGCAGCTGGGAAAAAATAGTTTTGAAAGTGATCACAACGATATCGTTCCTCTGTATCGTTATCGTTATAGTTGTGGTGTGAACTATGCTATTCTTTAATATTGAGAACGATTTTTAGAACTATATCGTTATCGTGCTTGGTGTGAACCGGCCTTTACTATACAGACATGTATAAACAATTACAATGTACAAAAAAGCTCATACATATTTTCTTTTTTTATTCTGTATTTTAAGATTAATATAACATGATTGCAAATTGCTACTATATTGATAAATAAATAAAAAATATTTTTTGCATTTTCAGTAAAAGAATATCAGTCCTGGCCTCTCAAAATTCTGTAAACAGGAAAAATCTGAAAACAGGACACATAAGGGGCACAGTTACACAAATCATCCATTTTAGTTTTGTCCACAAAAATAATCATGAAACAATGAGTATTAAACACTGAATTTCCATATCAGTAAGCAATAAAATATGGGAGGCTGTTTTTTTAAACAAATTACAGTTGTGTAAATATACACAACTAAAGAACACAACAGTTACTGCATAAAAATATTAAGGACAAATATTAAATATTAAAAGCTTTTTAATCAAAAATATTATTTTATTATGCAAAAATAAGTGTTAGAAAGTGTAATCTCTGACATATACTGTAAAAAAAAAAGGACTGTCGAAATTATGTAAAATAAATAAGAAATACGTAAAGGGAAATGGCTATCTTTCTTTCTTCATAAAAGAAGGTATCTTGAGAAATGTCTCAAGTGTTTTTTTATTTATTTTTAGTTTTGTTTCGGTACAATGAAAGTCAATGGTCACCAAGTCGGTTTGGTTGCCAGCATTCTTACAAATATCTTAATTTTATGTTCTACAGAAGACAGAAAGTCATACATATTTGGAATTTTCATTTTGGGGTAAACTATTACTTGAAAATTGAATGTTAAAATAAATTCCATGTAAAAAAATTTTATTGTTCATTTAAGTACTAAAACTTTATGCAGATCATGCAAAATGCAAAACATTTCATTAGACTCAGAGTTTCATTAGTGGTCTCAGATTTTGGCCCTCATTTGGTCTGAGTAAAAGAAGCAAGAGATTTTTCTCATTACCCTTTCACTTCTCTTTTCTTGCTCTCTGGATCTCAGCGCTCCAGTTGGTCCTGCTGCAGATATCTGGAGCAGTCCGATACTTTTTTCACCTCACTGACATTTAAAGTCTCAGAGCACATGGGGCAAACCGACTCAGTCTCTAAGAGCCTGAAACAAACACATACAAATACAGAAAATCAATGGATGGGTGGGTGACTAGATAGGTAGATGGATAGATGGACCATGGATGAATGAGACTTACTGAGTGAACTGCGAATAGAGAGCAGGGAAATCACAGTGTGGGCAGACACACCAGTCCTCCTTGACCAAGTGACGACCCTGAAAATAATGACACACACATCTATCAGTCAAACTGTGTAACTGTGTGCGCCTGCATATACACACCAAAAGGTCAAGTCAAGTTTATTGTCATTACAGTCAGAGACAAGTCAAGAATGAAATATATATAGCACCTAGAGAGGAAGTTAAAATAGGGCCTGGGTTTCTGGCAGTTCACTATGACGTTTACACTGTGGAACTGAAGCTGTAGGTCACTCCCTCGGAGCAAGATCTGCTTGTGTTCAGGCAGTGCAGTGATGCAGTAGATTAAGTTGTCTGTACTCACTGTGGCGATACAGTAGGGCAGATTGTTTTTGCAGCCAGGACAGAGCAGCTCACAGTCAGGCAGGCTGAAGACAGGGTGAGCTCTCCTCGTCCACCTCAGAAGTATCTGGACGACTGATGCAAAACAGAAAAAAAAGTCAATGATTGGGTCACGGCAATAGGAGCAAATTCAATTT